TCATGGCAGATAGAAGCACTCCTTGAATAGGCAAAGGGAACAGAGAAACACTTTCTGTTTATGCTAAAGGGCAGCTTCATTTATTTAGAGATCATTTCAGGTTTTGGTGCATTTTCATACAGAAATGGATGTTTTGAGATGAAATCAGCCTGTTTTGAGGTGAAACGTGCCTGAAGAGGCACAGGGCTGCAGTTTGGGGAACTACTTCTCCCACAAGGAAATCCACATTTACTGTAAGTAAATCAACAGTGAAGAGGAGACACTTCAAGAACAGTACCAGGTTCTCCAAATGAACTACAGCAAGTTACCAGTGATAAAATAAAACTTAACAGAAGAACACTGAGCAGGTGATACTTGTCACAGAAAAAGAAGCATCTACTGAGGTACTGAAAAATGTGCAGACAAAAACCCAGGCTTGCTTAACTTCAAGGATCTAGTGATGTGAAACTAAATTTGGAGGACAAATAAGGAGGTGTTTAAAACTCCAGTGAGGACAGTGAAGTACTAAAGGACCTGAAGAGGTCAGAAACATGGCAGGAAATTAAATGGGATTCAACCTGCAAAATTGCAACCTGGTTCATCTGGGGAAAAATAATCCAGAAGGCAAATATTAAATGACAAGGAGATAGCTGCAAAAGCAGTAAAATAAAACAAAACACTAAAAAAAAAACCCTCCTGGGTTGGGAAAACAGCAAGCAGAAAACTAGATATCCATTTGCAATGTGATAGGGCAGTAAAGGCAGCCAACACAGCTCTGGATGGCTTGGAGAGCACAGCCTGGCTCTCTTTTCACACCACACTGATGGCAACCTGCACACTGGGGGGATTTCAAAGCTGCTCCATAAAAGCAGTGGAACAACCCAGACAGTAACAGAGGAATGTAAACCCATAAGATCCAGTTGGACAGGGACTGAGGATGGGAGGTTGGGCTGATGCTGAGGAAAAGCCTTTGGCTACAGTTGTGCAAGGGCTGGGACAAACAAGCTAGAGCAAGAGAAAGAGCTCCAGAGCAAGAAAAAGGGACAAACCTGCTCCAAGATTATAGGGAAGACCTGCTATCCTGTTGGGAAAAGGAAGAAAGGATATGAAGGAAATCACTGCTCAAGTCATTCACTGATTAGAGTGATAAATGTATTTTCTCTCTGGCTTTAAGCAAATCTTAAGAAGGGCTTCCCAGGAGAATAATGTCTCCTTGATGTGTGGCCTTGAACTGTGGCCCATAAGTGACTGATATTGCTGTAAAGACTCTAAAAGTCAGATCTAGATCAAGTCCAAGGTCAGGACAGAATCTGGGACACATGCAGAGGTTCAAACAATATTAACCAGTAAAACCTGAGAACCTTGAGAATAGACTCTTGGCAGTTTATTTTACCTACTGCTCCATACAATTAGGTCCATATTTTCTACTTCTCACTGTCACTGATACTCTCAACCCCACTGCTTTTGACCTTACTGTACAAATCACAGCTAACAGAGATGTGGATGCACAAAGGCAAAAAACATTAATTTAGAATCACCTGCTGTTGACTTTGTCTCCAACTCTGAAACCTCACTGCACATCTCCCAGTGGTGTGTTGGAAGTGGAGAATAAAGGAACAACCAGCACAGGCTGCTGCTTTCCAGGGGAAGTACATTTAAAAGAACCAAATATTTACATAACACTTTTCTGTGACCATTAATGGCTTGCCAATCTCATGTTCTTTACTAGTACAGTCTAGCTCACAGACAGAATTCATTGGAATTGGGGGGGTCATGGAGTTATCTCCTTACTTCTAATTTTCATGTTGTGACTCTCAGAAAAGAACACAAACCCTTGTAGCAACAGCCCAAGAATAATCTTAAACTCGCACTGACCTGGCAGAAGCCTGAGAGAAAGCCATAAAGACAGTTTCCTGCACTACTTGTTAGATTAGACACACATCTAAATATAAATGTTCTTTACTTGTGCTGCACTAGGATGTAAAACACGTTTCCAGGCGAGAGCTCTCCGAGCATATCCAGAGACACAACAGCTTTCCTGTTTTGAACTGGTCTTTAAGACTTTTGGCAGTATATGACAAATATGGAAATAATCAGAACTCTTGTATGTGACACTGGAGTACTTGGAACACATAAACCCACTCAAAAAAGGTATCAAGTCACAGGCATTAACTGTGTATAAATTAGATGTATGCTGCATTGTCAACAACTGTTTTATGCTCTCCTCTGCACTAAAGGTATTAAGGCAGATTTATTCATAAATAACAAGCATAATAAATGATATGATTAGATAATAAGTTAATAAGATTAGCCTTGAAACAGTCCAGCCTAAAGTCAGATTTAAAGAAATATCTTCAATCCTTTAAACCCATTACCCCTTAGGCTCTAAAGGCATTGTCTGTGCCTCAGCCATATTGGCTCCATGTTCCCAACACATGGCTTGTCCCAGTACAAATCCATACATTTGAGGCCAAAAAGCCTCATGTCCATGTAGCCTGATCACAGGAACCCTAGCCACAGTGTTCTGTTCCATTCAGGAACTTTGCTGGAATTAGAGCACGTCTTTTAGGAAAGCCCACGACCTCAATTAAAATTCTACATCCCACTCAAACCTCATCCAATGGTTCAAAGGCAGGCAGCTGAAATTCAGAGCTTTTTTTTAAAATTCAGCCACATAATTAGAGAATTGCAAGGGGCCTGTAATTTACAGTCACATATCCTGCCATTTAAATGCAACTGCAATTAAGTGGCTGACTCAGGCTTGCCCCAGCACCGGGAACGTGCACACACGGAGTCGGTCTCAGGGTCAGGTCAAACTGCTCCTGCCACGCTCAGGAACTCTCAGTGTTCCAAACTGCACTGGAGATCAGTCACTGTCACACACTCACATCCATCAGGGCTGGCTGCTTTTGTGTGCTGAGCTTGGAAGAGCCTCCCCAGCCCAGCAGGCTCCAGCAGAACACTCGAGTGGAGCCAGGAGCTTGGGTTTGGAACGTTGTTCTCCTCTCATTCCAAACCACACATACTTGAGCAGTTACAAATGCGGCGGGGGGATAGTGGTGCACAGCAGCCTGAAACAAGGACAAACCCTTTGTTGTGTGGGTTTGGTTTTTTTTTTTAAACCCCCAGAAGAACCATTCTGTTGCTTCATTATATAAGCACATCAAACCCCCACAGCAAACAAAACACGAACGCGAGGTTGCTTATAGGTGGAGGTGGGTTTTCTGGGGTTTTTTACACCCCTCTCACATTATCTACATATTCTCAGGCACATTTGTTTATCCAAGAAAGGTTTTGATCAGATTTTTGTGGACTGGAGAACTGCAGTGATTGAGTAACCTTGGGAAAGGTTGGGTTTTTTTTTTTTCCATTCTTTCTCCTTTCCTCTTGTAGAAGGTTGTTGGGTCAGAAACTCTGCAGGGTGTGTGTAGACACTAAAATAATTTCTCAGTGACAACAGTATTTCAGAATCTAGTGGAACCAAAACATGGTTCAGCTCATCTGTCTTAACCTCTTCTCTTAATTGATGGTTAAGAAGTTACAGGGAAATATGTCCCCAAGGAAACATAAGCCCAAGATCAGGCTGCCTGGAGGGCCTCTCACCCTCTCTCTCCCAGTTGTTGTCTAGTTTGGCAACTGTTATAACACCATCACTGTCTCACAGAAGTATGTCAAACCATGAATTTTGAGAATACGTGTGTCTTGAAACAAACTATAGCAAACCCAGAGCTCAACCAGAAATTCAGCTAGAGCACAGCCAGGTGTGCTTCTCCCCACCTTGGTATCAATCAATCTGTACAGTCACAAATTTAAGACATGTACAAGTGAAACACTAGATGTGTTTTCTCAGGGATGCACTTGGAGTTCTCATTTAATTCTGTGTATGTAAATGCACTTACCAAATTGTAATCCTTGACCTCTCGGTTTTACAAATCAGGGTAAGTACCAACTTTGTAAGACACACGTGTACACACTTCCATTTTCACAGCAAAGCACACCTTGGGTCATTCTTCAAGCTTCCTACACCTCACTCACACCTCATCAAGCTTATTGTTCCTTACTCAATCCCCAGTGTAGACCCTTCAGGGTTCCAAGAGTGGCATAATAAAACACAGGAAATGGAAAAGCCAAATGGGAAGACGAAACAAGCAGAAACCCCAACATTTTGCAAACATTTTTCTCCAAGCTTTCTGACAATACAACTTCACTTAGGGTTTTCTTTCACTTCTCCAGTACAGAAATGTCATGCACACACAACAGAACTTATCACATCAAGTGAACTCTGAGCCACAAAGAGCACAAAGACTCTTCTCTCAGAGCAGTTCCCTTTCAGAACTTGGCCCTTCTCTGCCACACTCACAGTCAGTGCTAATCAACACACTTTTACTTTGAGCAAAACCATCATTATTTTGTAGAGCCTGGAACTGACCACAGGGAAGAAACCAAAGCATCTGCCTTGATGTGCTGAGCCCTCACAGCCACGGGAGGATGGGGAAGCACATAACCGTGGGCACAGAAGGGCACCCAGCCACACCTCTTAGAACTGAGAACTAGTGTACAAAATGAAAATGAGAAGATAATGACAATATGTTGATGCCTGAACTCTTCAAACCTTTGAAGAGATGTTTTTCTACAGTTAAATGGAAGTTGGAGGTAGAGCAGGGAGAAGAACTCTGCATTCATTTCAACTCTGCATGAGGATTCCACAGTAGAAGTTTAATCTCATTACAGACAGCTATTCTAAAAATTTTGCTTGATCTAATGCTGCAGCTTAATAATTCCTATTTTATGCTGCAGCTCTTCTGTGCAAATTTCACCCTTGTTACAGTATCAGCAAATGCCATCTATTAAACAAAATCAAATGGAATGAAATAGGCCACAGCACTGATCACAGCTCACGGTAAATCTGATTAAATTATTGTTGCTTTGCCTGAGGAAAGATAATCAGATCAGAGACTGCAGCAGGTATTAATACCCAGTTTCCCAGTATTACTGCTCGGGAATATGAAGTGGTTGCTGACCTGGGGCCGCTCAGGGTGGCCGTGTCCCTCACTGCCTGAGCCGTTTCCGAGGCGAAATCCAGCGCTCCGGCCACGGGTTTGGTCACGGTGCCCACCAGCCCCTTCCCAAGGCCGGATATGAAACCACTGACCCCTCCTTCTGTCTTCACACCTTCCACTGTGGAAGTTATGACACTTGTCAGTCCTCCAATGATACCTGGCAAAGACAAGAACAGCAAGTTAGGCCAGAATTATTGCCTCTGAAAAGTCCCATCTGATGCTGTCGCCTACATGATTTATTGTTATTTCATGTTTCAAACCAAATTAACTTTACCTGTTGTATATGTAGCATACACACACATACCTACAGACCATAATATCCCTCAAAGATTTAATTCATTACTAAATATGTGTATTTTAAAATATTTTATACTGGTTTGTTTCCAGCTGCACTTACACACACTGTCTTCATCTATTGCACAGGTAAAGCAGTTACTTATAAGGTGACAACTTATACAGTTTGAGACAGCAAATAGAAAAGTGCATTTCTCCATTGGAAGAAGTCAGTTATTTTAAACTGGCACTTTAAGTGACTTTGCTGTGATGATGCCAACAGCCATTTCTGTGCACGTTTCCCTTCCTAAGAACCTCAATGCTCTGAGAAGTCAAGAACCTGCTGAGGTTTCGAAAGACTTGGAACTTGTGTCTGAGAACACACTTTACAGATTTCACATCTCCCTAATTAGAATATCAGTTTTTAGTGCCCTGGCTCAAGCCTCTCCTGTCCAGCTTTCAGCCAGGTGCTCCTCTGAGGTCTGTAAGTGGAGTACAGACCAGGCAGCACCTCAACGGCCAAGCTCAAAAAGCCCAAGCTATTTAAATCCCTCCTCTTGAGTAACTATAGTTTATGGTTAAATCCTGTCTGTTGAAATGTAGGAATTAGCAGTTCTTTTCTTTTTTAAAAAGCTGAATGGGAAGCATTTAAAAATGCCACAGAATGAGGACTAGAACAGTCACGCTAATTACTGGATAAAACAACACAGTGAAGTGCTTTTAGAATGGACTGTTCAGCAAAGACCGACATATTTTAGGCTTCCTCCACTTCTGCCAATATAATTTATGTCAGACTGTACAGCAAACACGAGAGAAACCTCTCTTGATGCATTTCATACCTACAGTGTCTCTTTATGACCAAAGCAAAACGACTTTTCTCGGCACAGAAAAGATCCTGTTTTAGTGAAAGCCAGCTCAGCTTTGCACAGGCTGCAACAGTTACACTAAGAGAATAACATTTAAACAAACTGAGTCAAGATGATGCAAAATATAAATATTTGATTTAAACTTGGCTTGTATTGATTTAACCTTCTTCAACAGATAAATCACGAACTAAATTGATGTGAGATTCTGGCCAAATTAAGACTAGTCCAGCGCTTTTTACACAAAGTCATGTCTCTAGTTCTTAGTAGACTGAAAAAAACCCACAAAATAACCCAACTGGTGAAATGTTACTTTAAACTGATGTACTGATTCCAAGGAAACTCAGGTTTCTGGAACTGAAAGCAAACATAAGAAAGCCACAATCCAGCCATACCCATTTTTAATTTTAATGTCTGGCCCTCAAAAAAAACTTTTTGTGTGGGTGTTTTATACCTTTACAAAGAAATTGATGTTTTGGAGGAACTCTCTTTGAGATTTCATTATAATTTGGAAAAAAGCTTCCAGTTACACGTGAAAAGACCTGATTGTTAAATGGAGTTTCTGTCAACTTTAAACCCAAACAATCCCCTCACCCCAACCTGCCCCCACTCAAATTCAAACATAAAACCTCTGACAGCTCCACTGCCCTGGCTTCAGATAATCCCCCAGCAGTAACAGCCACTGTTCTTTGCAATCCCATCATTACTTTTAAGAGAGAAATGAGTTAAAACTGCAGCTAAGGGTTACCATGTGCAAGTCCATGGATTCCAGCCACCAGGTGCTCCCCACTGGTTGCAGCGTGGTATCGGATGTATTCCCGCTCCGTCTGATGCCTGTTATCCATGGTCTTTCCCAAGCCATCTGACAAGGTCCCAGCAAACTGCAAAATAATAATAATAATAATAATAATAATAACGTTGTCTGTTATTAAAAGAACAAAAGTGGTTTCTCTTATGTAGATTCACTGCAGAAAATCCCCAGATCCTAGTTGGGAAATACAGATTTATACAACTCGTTTTGTTACACGGACAGAGTCTGTCCAGCCTTTTTTGTCAGGAAGAAGCCTCAGAACTACATCAGCCTGTGCAACTGAAATCCTGAGGTGACAGTCACCAACCAAGGAGGTGCCCAAGTGCAGTGGTCAAGCCAAAACAAACCAAGCCCTTGAAAGATGCACCAAAAGCAACGCCAGTGACCCAAGGGTAACCTTTCAAAACCTCACAGGAATGTTATGTAGATATAAAGCTTTTCTTCTGCAAAGATATGTGAAAAGCTTCGAGGCAAATACTCCTATCATGAAACTGAAACATTTGAAGAGTTAATTAAATTCTTTTTAGCAACACAGGGGGCAGCCCCTGACACACAGGGGACCTGAGAAGCACCCACAGGTACCACACACTGCAAACCAAAAGCCCAGGGGGAACCCTCAGTATGTGAGTGGAGCATTTTCACTCCTCACACTTCCCCTGAACAGCGTGGGGGAAGACTTGGGACATGCTCACAGATAAAAGAGAAGAGCTATGTCCAAGCAGGGTTTGTTCTGGGAACTCTGACCATTGCTGTGTGAGAGCCAGTGAAAAAGCACCAAATAAAAATGATCTATTGTCATCTGCTGACCCTTAGTCTGACGTCATCAGATAGAAACCAGAAGCCTGGTGGAAGGAGGGAGGCAAGAAAAGGAGACAGAAAACATGAAACCTTGCTTGTATTCAGGATATTATTATAGGAAAGGACTCCTAGCAGGCATTTGCCTGGAATAACCTCCAAAAACTAGCTGGGTTTTGATTATGTGTAGTTGGACACCTCCTGTACCACTCTCACCTACCACCAGCATTCTTATCTCTTTTCAATAAATGAACAACTTCATCCTCTGTGCCCTCCCCAAAGCAAAGATCATTTAAAGCTTTGTTTTGTCTTCCACTGGGGCTGGGGAAGGTACCAGGTGCCACAGGAATGTCAGAGACACTCGGGGCTGCAGCAGTGGTGCAGTCACTGCTGTCCTGCAGGATCAGCTCCTCCACAACAAGGACTTCACTGTCCCAGAACTGTGTAAGGACCTGCCCTGGTTTCATGGACCATCTCCTCTGCACCCACATCAGTGAAGGGAAAACCCTCCGTGGTTCAGGTGTGCCCCAGAGGACAACAAACCCTGGTGTGCAATTCTGATACACTGAAGATTAAAACAGAACTAGACAAACAATCGTTGTGCCTGATGCCACGACGACCTTCCCCTCCTTTTTCTGTCATTTCTGCCAAGGCTGCATTTCTTTTTCACTAATGACACGACATCCCAGTTTGAAATACTCCTTCCCAGCTCGAAGACAAACCAGTCCAGTGGCTCCAATTATCTAAACACGTAGACTTTAACAACAGGGATGAAAATGAAATCCCATGACCTTTCTTGTGACTTGATCATATGGACACTAAACAGAACATGGTGATCAGAGACTGAATTACTTCTTGACCTCGTTTTGAACTTAATGTAGATTTTTTTTTTTTAATTAGTCTAGAAATACAAACCAACCTGAAGCTATCTGTGAAATGTGTTTAAGGTTAGTTTTTTTTCTGGATAAATACTTTGTTTAAGAGGATTAGAGTAGCTGCTATAAAAATTAAAAGGCTCAATAGGCCTTCAAAATTCAAACCTTATTATGGAATATATCAAGGCTAGAAAACGATTTTTCCAGAACACATTTTAGAAGTTATATTAGTGCATGATTGGACAATCAGCCAGCAAGAATATACCAGCTTATTAATACTGATCAGAATTGGTAGTCTCTTCCTTACAGCCTTGCCCCCCTGTACTGGCCAGCCTCACTAGCCCAGCTTTCCCAGAGGATATAATCCAGTCTTTCCTCAGATTTCCTTTCCTCTGTGAAGCAGAATCTGACACCTAATCATCAATAACAATTCTGTTTCAGTGTACAGAGAGAAGTTTAACATAATAGTGTATTATTCTTAGTAAGGAGGAAAAAGGAAAGAAATCCCATGCACATAGCTGAAAAGTCAAACTCTCCATTAGCTGTAAAGCCAAAGTTAAACAGGGGCACTTTTGTTTGTGTTATTTAGAGAATACCACTGAATTACAGCTGTAAATACAACGATTTAAGGATTTTAATTTACCAAATGTACCATGAAATGTTTCCATTTTGCCCTGACTCAGGTGACAAAAGCTAAACTCAACACACATTAATTACAAAACATGAACTTCATGTTGAATTACTTTTTGACGTGGCTCCTCCTCCCCCCTCCCTGGGGCCTGTTTGTTTTCTGGCCTCATTTAACAAAGACTGAAGCCAAACTTTTGTTGCCATTTGTACCATTTGTACCCAAACCCAAGGGTTACTCAGTGAGCACACGGGAGTGAGGCCCTTCTGAACCCTTTCCTGCTCTGTGGTCCAGAGTTTGTCAATTAGAGGTTGGAACACCAGGGAAGATAAAACAAGGACCCACTTCACAGGCATTAGTGATGTTAAGGGCTGAGGGAAAGGGAGCAACTCACCATTTCTCTGAGGTTTAGACTCTCCTTTGCAATAAAGACTCAGCCTGTGGTGTCAGTGTTATCCTGATTCCTGATCTGAACCACACCTGTCATCCCATAATACCACTATAGGTGTGAAGTACAGGTATATAATACCCACCTCCTGAATGAAATTTGCTGCTGGGTCACAACTCTTTCACTTTTTTTTGCCTTTTCTGTGCACCTCAGAAATACTTTCCCCAAAGTGGTTTCTGAAGCCTATTTCAGTAAACAGGGTTGTATCTACCTATATAAAAAGGAAAATTAAGGGTTCCAACACAAGTCCCCAAACACCTGCACAACACCTTCTCTGCCCACTCTGTGTAGATGACAATCACTGTATTAAGAAAAAGTTCCTCAGCAGTGGCAAGTTACTTCAGGATCAGAAACTTGACTAAACACCAGAAATTTAGGCAGTTTAAGTCCAGCTTAAACGACTAAGGGAGATCTGAATACATTAAAGCACAAAAGCAGACTTGCCTTTTTCCCCAAAATGTCTTGCTTTTGGATGCCTCCTTTGGGAAGTGCAATATTAGACATTAAGGCTGAGATATTGAGACTGGTGGAAGGGCAGAGATGGTCCTTACTGAGCTGTTAACCGGGTCACACAGAAAACAGTCTCCAGATAAACAAAGGTGACACCAAAAGTGTGACCCACCCTTGTCCTCCTCAGCTTTTGTTAATAAGGTGTGACCTGATAACTTCAAAGCCTCCTCAAGCCCATGTAAATGCCAACATAACTAAACACAACAGTCTGTGGAACAAACACAAAACTAATCAAGTGGCTTCTAAAAATCAGCCCCCCCATCCTAATTTTCATAACGAGCTCTTTGTCTGCTTGCAGATGAACAAAATAAATTAGTCACTTGGTCTTTTATCTCTGCATTTTCCCCATCTCAGGCATCCTTTGCCTTGAAACAGAACTGCAGCAGGGCACATCAGTCTCAGCTAAGTGCAGTTACTCATTTCCAACCCAGAAGGCACCCAGGTGGCACTGAAGGAAGCCAGTCTGCACCAGGCATGTGGGAGAAATGGGGATTTCACTTGTCAACTTGGCATCTCCCAACAGAGCCAAGTAGGAGCCTTCTGACTGGCACTACTGACTAAAAGTTCTGTCACTTTAGGTACTGAAAATACTTCAACTTAGCATCAATATGCATTGTTTAATGCTTTGTTTTATCCATCATGCCTGGACAGAAGGAGAGCCCCTCCAAAAAGCCCCAGTCAGCTGAGCATCCACCCACCTTCATTCACAGATACCCTCTGTCTCCCCTGACCCTTTGTGTCCCCAAAGCAGATGGTACTTCCTGCATTTCCCCCCTACAGATCATTTCTTCCAGGTCTACTCTGTAAAGATACGTGGATCCCTGGCTTTCATCCCACACTAGGTCATGATGTGAATATACCAACTGGTCACATGCTGCAAGCAGAAAACATTCCCCACTGCACTTAAGCCTACATGGTGTAACACAAACTGATCCTCCAGAGGAGGGTGAAATATGACATTTTCCTCCAAATCCCAGGACGTTATGCTACTGTGCCCACTATCTTTGGAAAAGCATGTAAACCACTCTCAGCACTTCACAGTTATTGAAGATGTTATTACACTTCTGCGAGCCTGGGGCATGCTGGCCTCAACCTCCTCTGCAGGCTGAAGTAAATCAGTGATTCATCATTTCTTGTTTTACATTTACACAGTGTCACCCATCAATATTAAGTATCCACCATGATCTGCAAAAGCAGAGGAAATAGTGTCTGTACAAAAAACTAATCTGCTCGTGTTTTGGGTTATTTGGTGTGTTTGTTTTTCTTTTTAAAGGTCCATTAATTAAGGCAGTTTTGCCACAAAACCTTTAGCAGGGACTGTGTATCCCTTGCTGTTTCAAGCAACAGAAGAAAAACAAAACCAGTGTTTGTGAACCAAAGCTGGTGCCAAACAATAAGGCTTATGGGGCACAAGAAGAATTCAAAGCAAATGAAAACTCGACTTTGGACTGCTTGTTCCCTCTAAGCCAGATGCATGAAGCACACAGCATGGAAATAAGGTCTAAGTAATCTTTTAAAGTCTTTTTAAGCTCTTGGCACTGCCTGGTTCTCTAAGGACATCCCAAAAGGATAAATACACAATTATGACTTGAGTCCAAACATTCCATTGTAATTCTAGCATCAGAGAACGGTACATTTACAAATATTATTGACTGAGCAAAGCAGAACATTCCAAGATGGAATGCTAAGGGAGAAAGTGATGAAATTAAATATAGATCAGTTACAACTTCTGTGCAAACCTCAAAATGAACTGCATTTAAAACAGAAATCACAGAGTTTATTCAGTTCTCATCTTTGCTTTGCAGAACTCATTT